CCCTCGGACCGACCTCGTAACTATTTTGTGCTTGTTATAGTTTTCATGCTATAACTCTTAAATTAATAAGCAAGTGTTAACAGAATTTGGCAGTTTATCAGCAAACTACAATGCTTTCATATGCAAAATACCTAATTTTTTTATTAAGTCTTAAGGTTTGTAAAGCAATTTTTCTCTCATGCCTTTTTTTTCTTTTCACATCTTGCCTATCTATCATGCAAAGTAATTTTCATTTTAAAATTAAAAATACTTTTATGAATAAGAAAATTTTGAAATTTCACATGCAAAATCTTTATAATGTCCGGATAGTTATCAAACATGTCTTAAGAAAAAACTTTATATTTTATCTGTTATTTTCAGAAATTAATCTCTGTACAGGTCCAGTAAATTTGACCGATTTTGCAACCATAAAAAATTAGGAAATAAACATAAATTATGCCTCTTTCGTTCTAGAATGAACACAAATTATAACACGAAAACATAAATGATTGGACAAAATTGCTTAAATCTCATAACATTATACATTTATATATATTTATTATTTTTTATTAAATTGACCTTTCACCCATGCCTAGTTAACAATACAGAAGTTACAATGACTTGGCTCACATTACCTTATCAAACAACATAAAGGTTTTTTCCTATAATGGGTACTTAAACCAGATTTCTTTAGCATTATAAGCCTGCAAACTTACTGCTGAGCAGCTGGAGGGCTTTCAAAACAGAAAGCATAATTCTAAAATAATAATAAATTTAAATACATGTAGGATCACATATGCATTTTCAAATATTCTGCAAAATATTATTAGTAATTAAAAATAAAAAAGAATAAGAAATACACAGCACTTTTTACTGCTGATAATCTAATTATATGTGGGGTAAAGACTTTTGCTATACTCCGGATTATATGATGCAAATTTATATCTATGTAATCAGAAAGATAAGTTCCTTCCCTTTATTCAAGGTAGCATAAAACTATTTAAGTAGTAGCTAGTGTACACTGTGAAGAGACTAGCAATTTATCCATTATGCCAGGCAGATAAACATCTGAAGCTTTTGAAACCCCTAGAATATTTATGGAATGAAGCATAGTAACTTACGTCCAACCTATGCATCATTTTAGTAGCTTCATAAGTTTAAAGTTGTACTCACTGGTCTAACACCACCATTGGAGTAGATGTCAATTGATGGTGTTTTCTTAATCAAGTGAAAAATAAGTCCTGCAGAAAGACGAGCCTTTGTGTAGTCAGGTAGAAAAGAAGTCCACTGGCCAACAGAAACAGCACTGAATGCCATAGCGAAGAATACTCTAACAACAAAAACAAATTTCCAACATTAATATATCTGACTTAGCTACTTTGAACTTTCACTAGATACAAATGTATTTTAAAATTAATCTTTTCTTTACAAATTTGAATATGTAACGTAAAACATTTTGGTTACTGCGCAAAACTAGATAGTTATTACTAAAAGCATAATTTGTGGTCTACTGATATGTTGAGTAAATATTTAATTGTAAACTTTAAAGAAAACTGCATATAAAAGCCTCAGCATTACTGTGCAACTTTTCACTCAGAACTTCATTTCTTCTTTACTTAATTTTACTTTTGTATAACTTTTCTGAAACTGATATTTCTTTGTACAGTTCCCTCCTTAAAATAGCAACCTTGGTATGAGCATTTCTTTGGTAGTATAACAACAGTAGAGGTGTAAGAAGTGGTGAATAGACACTATTTACATTGTGTACATTGTTTATATGCATGTACATAATTTTGCATGTTAACTCGTGCATGGGCAACTACAATATATAACTTATATACTAATTGATAAATAGGGTGCATTATTGCTCACAATGTGTGTATACAATCTTATATTGAGTAAGCTTTGAATTTAACTAGAAAACATATCAAACAAACTGATTGCAAATTTTCTCTAATAACAACATTTATTGGGTTATATTAAAAGTACAGAATGTACAACATATAACACAAACCTGAATATAAGTTGAAGAAACACTTTTAAAATGCTGTGCAATAAAAGTAACACTCTTAACCCTAGTTTCTCTGCTGTTACTCATTTTTTGCTATCCTTCCAGCTTGATGTAGTCAGTAAATTTAATCTGTTTTGAATTTTTGATGACAAGCCAATCTACTTTCAATCCTTTGAAAAACCAATATTTACATCTCGTAGTGCTATTGCTGCCTTTTGGGTTTTTCATAAGTTGCTACAACCATCACAAATTTGGCACATCTACATCATGTACTGAATATTCCTAGTCTTGATCCCCTTCGGGAAATACACTTACTAAATGGATAATTTCCTCATCTATTTGTTTTTCTGGTGAAAATGTTGTTGTTCATACTCACAAACTGTTATTGAGTGACAAAGTCTTCATTTTATATTTTGAAAATATCAATTTGTTGATTGACAATATTGCAGTATTCAACTTATTATAGGTTGGTGAATCATTTGTGGCAGGTTTTTAACAGTTTTCCAACAATTTTGAATTGTTGAAGGCATAATGTTGTCCCAGGCCATCTTGATATATCTGATAACTTCATTGAGGTCAATTTTTTATAGCAACAGCATCAATGAAGTGACACAATTATAGATAATGAAATTTCCTTTGAATGCTTTTATTATGCTTGCATCCATAGAATGTAAAGTAATTGGTAGTGGTTGGTTACAAGAAACAGATCTTCACATCAGTCAACGATGATTTTCCAATGTGGTTTGTTGCATTTTTTCTGGTGCAAGAAAACTTTGCAATTGTAAAAGTGCATTCTTTGATTAAAAAGATTGAAGCTACTGACTGAATATTATAGATGTCATTTACAGACTTTCTTATTACAATAGTGAAGTTTCATAAGCATCTAGATTTGACTGCATTACCAATCACCAGTGGTGTTAATCCGTCAGTCATATCAGCATTAGCAGTAAAAACCAGAGTCACATAATTATTTGTCTTGATACCTTTGTTATATGTATTAGTGTTTAATGAACTGTCTGATAACATTTTGTAGTAGATGCCTGGTTCATTCATGTTATACACACATTTCAAAACACAGTGTATAGTCAGCTGTATTAGTGGGGCCTGCCCTTCTGTCATGGTAGTTTTAGCACGGGAGAAATATTATTTCTTCTCTGACTTGAAAAATTGACGTTGCTGGATAGAACAGCTCCTCAAATTATAATTTTTGTGTGCAAAAGCTTTTATTATTTTTAAGTTCATAAATGTAATTTTCAAGTAAAGAATAAATTTCTCTTCTTTGAAACTGTTAGTACTAGACCATGCAAGAAGTTTGTGAAAAAACCATCACCTTACCTGTAAACATTAGTAGCATCCATGTCACCAATAGTGATCAAATATGAACCAAGCCTGAAAGCTGCAGCATAGATAAGAAACATGACCCCTTGAGAGAAGGCAAAGGCAATGGCATAAACTTGGGCATGTTTCTTGTTCTCCCTATTGGATGGTTTAAATGTTTTATGGTTAAAACTTAGCACTAAGTAGTGTATTCAAAAATTCTGAGAATTTTTATCTCATTGTGTAAAACTTTTTTCTACAATAGTAAAGTTAGCAAAATAAAATAACTGGTCTGAAACCAATAAAAAAATACAGAAGTATAAGTTTACAAAATAATTGGAAATGAAAACCGATTTTTTCTAAATACTGCATTTTACTCTGAATACAAGCAAATACTATATAATTTAAGTTGCTGCCTTACACAAGTTATGTTTTGATTAATACCAAATACAGATAAACAAAGAGTACTAACATGTATGGTACCAAGAGATGGCCTACATATTTTTCAAAAAAGGTTTGTTCTTGTGTCAAGGCCTGGACAGTTCGTATATTTTCCAGCCCTTCACTTGCAACCTAGAAATGAACCCACATTAATGTGCCGCAATTATTTACAGCAGTAAAATTTTATTTCTCTTTACTTGACTATAATTTTTTATTTTGTTGTTACTTAAAATAATACATGTGCTAATATATTCTTGCAAAGAATGTTTAGTATACAATGTAACAAAAATAATACATTGAAACTTTTTCAAACTTACACTTTTTGATTATAATTTATCTTTATGAATTACAAAAAGAACATTCTTTATTTAGATATTATAAATACTAAGTAGAACAGATACTGGCTAATGTATTAGACATGACATTGAAACTATAACTGGAAAGTTCTAGGGCCAAAAACAAGTTATGATTATAAGAAACCAGAAAAATTGTGGTTTTTCAGGAGATATACCTTCCTAATTTTAGGGGAGATGATAAAAAGTATACTTTTTGAAAGTGCTTGGGTAATCAAGTTATTTTGATTATGAGACCAAATAAATAGTTTTATTAATCTTAGTTTTACTAATGTACAGACCAAAATATTCTGGAAATATTTGACAGTTTTGTTAGAAACACATCATTTAACCCTCTCTGCATGGGCATCTTTTACTATGCATGTCACAAGGTTTTTAGTGATTTACACTGAAATTTTAATTAAATTACTTTTTGTTCATAGCTAATAACCCATATTTTAATAGTATATAAGTTTAAGCTCTTAATTTGATAAGGCAATATTTTAAAAAAATCCCGATTTTCCCCTAGTGTGAGAAATGTGACATTTTTTCTCTAAGCATCCTGAGCATCTAATTTATTCACAACCCCTCCATTAAGTACAAAATTTAACATAAATTACTCACTATAAAATTGTCATCGCTCAGACAAACCATAATTTTCATAGCCTTCAATCTTGTTTGGTTATAGAGCCAACAAATAGAAAATCAGACCCCTTTAGCCACACCCACCTGTCACATCCTCTCTTTCAGGATTTGTTAACAGTTCACTCTTACGTTTAATAATATATTATTTATAACCAAAAGAAAGCCAAGGTTTTCATCTGTCACAAATGATGTATTATAGTACATTGTTTTCTGAACAGAGAATTGTCAATTTCTCTTTTAGTACAAGCTATGTTCCCAGGGGAAACACATCGATTAGTTTGGATGAACTTGTAACGGCTCTGATTCCATAGTTAAAAAGCCAGAAAAACTGATAATTATGGGACATTGTTTGCTTTTTGCAATTTATTATTCTATGCTCTTTGGTGAATTATTTAATTAAATAAAACTTATTTTGTGCATTACTACCATTAGCATAAAAAAAAGTAGGGTTAAGTGTCATCGACAGTCAACAGCAAAAAAAAAGAAGACCCAGGTAAGTACTTTATTTCTTGTTATTCATGTGTGTTCCTTATTTATTTTTTACAAAAGTAAGTAAAATGTAAAAATAGGATTCTCTTTAGGTTAGCTACAGTTAGATTAAGTAAAATAAATAATAATAATATAATAAAAAGGTTTCACGAGGCATTGAAACACAAGTGGCTCTGAGTAGCTCGTGGGTGATGTAATTTGATAGCATAACTTGAGCTCAACTTTCCCCAAGTGATTTACAACTTATAATGGAGTAACTAATAGTTAGACATGGTTCAAAGAGCAATAAAACAATAAAATTTAAGTACAATAGATGTACACTGTTACAAGCTTAAAGCTATTTAGGGTAAACAAATGTAGTTTCATGTTACAATTTGAAGTCATTCTAGAAAGAAAAAAAGGGCACTTCAGCTGTACTTAGATTTTTTTTGGTGGTTATGAGGTTGTGTCAAATTGACCAACCTTGTATAGAGTTATGGTAGAAAAAATAATGAATAAAATATAAAGTTTTATTGAAAACAAACGTTTGAAATGTATTTAGGAGGTTTTAGAGATTACACAAACGAAATTTGAGATTTTTGAGATGAAGGAAAGTATTTTTTAATCTTAACATGAAAATCATTTTGCACTCAGACTAGTAAAAAAAAAAAAAGACTTCAAGGACAAATCCATTTTTAGTTTATTAAAAACATTTCCCTAAAAAATCTGATTTTGTGTGTGTGCGTGAAAAATAATGTTTACTTAAATTCTGCCAAATTTTGGGAACATATGCATACTATATTAAAAAATAGTAGTATCAAAACTATAATGACTTTAAACGAGTACAAAGTGGTCATGTGTTCGGTCAATTCAACCGAGCCCATGTTTAGAGAGTTAATGAACTACAACTAAATTTAAGAAAATGATTGGACCCAAAAGACCCAAGGAATTGATAAAGCTGAAAGAGCAAGTTAATATGGAAGGAAGCTTCTTTGGAAGCCATGTTTGATACAAACATGGCTTTTGTACATAAATTCCCTTTATCAACATCAACTCATCTGAGCTGGTTAGATAAGTATTGATAAGTTAGACTAATCAGGAAACATCATTAATATGTGTGTGCAAAGAAATGATCCTTCATCAGATTTAAGCTTCATACCAAATAACATCAAATCTCGTCAATAACATTAATGCTGATGGTGATGTACAGAACACAACAATGACAAATGAAATACGTGTTGAGAAGACCAAAGATGCAGAAATAAGTATTTTTATAAGTTCAAACTTTCTGGTAATGGTCATACATTTCCAGCATTTTCCATCAACTCTGAATCACGTTTCTGGTTGCCCTTCAACACCTTCATCTGAATAGCACCAGCCACCAAAAGAATAGGCACTACCACCAGCAGTCCCAAGGCTAGCTTCCACCCAAAAACAAAAGCAATCACCAAGCTGGTAAAAAGCGTGACCACTGCTGATACCACAGTGCCTATTCTGTGACCTGCAGCCTAAAACAAAGAAAGGAAATTGTGAACAAATTAAAATGTGTTCAAGAACAAAATGAAAAGACACAAAAATGCTGTCATAGTCATATAAAAATAAATGTGACAGTAACAAGCCTAATTGAACAAAGCAATTATTCACAATCATTACAGTTTCTAGAGATATCCAACAGAATAAACAGAATATTTAAGTACTTGCTATACTTCAAAGAATGATTCAAATCTATAAAAGTATTAAAATAACTTGGAAATAAATGCAGGTTGCACACAGTTATAAGAATTCAGCATTACTTAGTACAGTTTCTTTTTCTTGAATTTGGAATTTGAAAATAATCAGGAGTAGAAATTTGTAATGCCTCTTACAAAAATAGTAAGTTAATAAAAAGGTTCAATTAATATTTTTTTTATTATTGTCTAACACAAAGTGATTACTGAACTAATCTTTACTTACACCTATTCACTGAAATATAGACAACATATCATAAAAAAAAATTTATTCAATTTTGCACGGAGTAACCTTTAACCATTTTCAGCAACAATGAAAATCAAACCTATAATTAAACAAAATTTGTGATACTAATGTTAATAAAAATACTAAATATTTGTACACAATCAAAGATAAATTAATATGCTATTTATCTGAATATCTAACAGTAGAAGATAAACGTTTCTAATACATTTGAGTCATATTAACTTACAGTTTTCACCATAGGGACATCTGTTGCAAGCCTTGTGCTTAATTTTCCAGTTGAATGTTTTTCTTCATCAAACCAACCAATGTTCTGTCGTATGATATTTTTAAATGTTTGATGCCGGAGTCTCATGGTAAGTTTTTCTCCAGCAAATCCAGTTCCTGTGGTCTAAATACAAAATATCTATGTGCTGGACTTAGAAAGTTAAGAAGTTTGTTTTTTTATAGAACTGTTTACTTAAAAAAAGGAACAAAAACATTCACCTTACACAAAGATGTGAGTCCAATATTTTCTGGAAAGTTATAAGAATATATTTTTCTTACATAAAACTTTCCATTTTTCCATGAATTCAAATAAATCATTTTTTAAATCTTAATTTTTAATAATTGTGATTGAAATAAGCTAAACTATCAACCTACAACTATAAAAAATAAGTTCAAAATACTTTAGTAAACAATAATTTGTTGTGATTTACCACACAAAAGTATGTTTTCTCATGATTTCACATAAAAGTATGTTTTCTTATGATTTCACATAACAATTTAAGTTTTGTTGTTTTGTCATTAGTCAGCATGGTTGGGTAAGGTTTGTTATGTTTTTATGTTTCAATTTAAATCTAATCCAGTTTTTTTAAATTAAGGGATTCTAGAATTTGCTTTTAGTCTAATTCTAAGAGCTTAAAAAGTGAAAGTAAAGTAAAATGTATAAAAATATGTCAGCCACATTATACTTGCTATATTCAGTGCCAATGAAGTCTTTCATCCAACAGACCAGCTAGGACACAGCAGATACAGTAGTGGTTGAGACGCTACTGATATTATCAAATTGCATAAACAGCAACTGTTATTGTGTGAATCTGATTAAATAATTGAAGTCTAGACCTAGGATGCAAAAATTTGTAGCAAATTTGTATTTCCATAATGTTTAGATTATTACCTATGCTTTTCACACATTATGAAAGTTTCAAACACAATGAGAGTAGGTTAACTGTGATTGATTACAGAGAAAGGGAGGCATGTTTATTAAAGGTCTGGAAGATTGGCTAGAACATTCCATAAAAAAATAAATGACTGGTTGAGAATTATTTATGAGTACGGACTTTTCTTTCTGGACTAAGAAAATTACAATAATGTTCAAATCATCAAGTATGATCTGGCTTAATTTCAACAAGTCAATTTCAAAGTGACCAATAAATACACATCTTTTATATATTGCAAATCATTGTGTCTGTCTGAGTGTTCGTCTGTTTTCTATTTGAAAAGCTGTGCACAAAGGCAAAGCTCAACATTCATTTTTGAAAAGACGAGAGAATATGCATGAATAATGTTGATGCCAAATTTTATTTCACAAGCATGATATTCTATACTTTATTGTTAGGAATTAATCACACTATCATTCACATTTCAAAATGTGATATAACTTAAAGAATGAAAATGTAGATTTACCGTATGTTATTGTTGAGCGGTTCTTAGCATGACTGAAATGCTCAACAATTACTTTTTGTGCTGGGCAGTAAAACTAGCTTAGAAACCAAGAGTGCAAAACAATTAAAAACCTTTTTTAAAGTCCAAGAAATAATTTAAATTGATAGATTAACTTAAACTTTTCTTGTTGCTGAGTATGGGTACTTTTGCTTGTTTTCTAATCAAACATGGCATTTAAATCAGGAAAGAATTGATGAATTGCAATAAATGCCCACAACAAACCTGTAAAGTCTACGTAGATTTTTAAACCACCAAATCAGTGGGTGTAAATGAATGGAGTGATGTGGCTGTTGTAAACAACCCCACATACTCTCACAAAGTTCAAATATAACACCACACTACTGTATAAGTTGTTATTTTCAAGATGAAGTAGTTCCATAAGATATTTTGCAAAAAAAAACACACATAAGCAGATAAATAACATAGCTTGATGACATTTTCCAGCTGTTGAAACTTCTGATTTCATCTAGTACAAAGGGCAGCTAACATGGTGAACCCAAAGGCCAAGACTTAGAGGAAGATAAGCATACTGAAATCCTGGGCATAATCATGAAAGTGGCTAAGCATATCCCTAACAAGTTGATTGTTTTCTTTTATTTTCAAAATACAGAATTAGTCACAAAGCATGGAGTGAGGAAGTTCAGTGATGGTCAACAACTATCATTACACATTTAAAATGGTAGAAAAAATTATTGTTCAACAAATATTTAAAATATTAAGCTTTTTACTCTGCAACTGCTTGTGAATGCAATTAAAAGACATCCAGTAATGTAAAAGCACAATAAAATAACATGGTATAACATGTTACAATGGACAGATAGTTCATCTTGTTATTGTGAACTTTAATCCTGGCCTCCAACAAGATAAGTACCTAGAAAGAGGATATTAATGATATCCTGCCAATCCATAAAGGGTTAAATATTGTTAAGTAGCAAAGTATTCTTTTCTCAGTATATTTACAGTTGATTGAATATTCTTTGCCTTTGGTTTTATTTTTCTGACATCCACAGGTTTCATTTTGGTGAGATTTGTCTCCCCTATTTTTTAAAACTTATGAATGTTGGACAATCTATCTTCATGCAAGCATGACACTCATAAATCTGAAAAACATGTTTTCCCTTCGTACTAAGTTATTGATCTCTAATTTATATTACTGAATTAAGATGAACATTTTAAACATTTTGTAACTGTGAATGTTGAGGTTTGTCTTATTACTTAAAAAAGTGAAGAAAATGTAAGAATAAGTTCTTATAATATGTAGTACAATAAAACATACACATCTCCTTTTTAAGTGACATTATTGAACACAATTTGTTCTGTTTATTTTTGACTCCATGTCAACAGTACTTATCAATTTTAGTGGATGAAATAGGGATTTTTGGCTTAAGAAAATAATGTAGACACTACTTCTAGCCTTTTTTGTTTATTTTTTTTATAATCCCTAGTTGTAGGCTTGAAAATATAATCTTTGCAATATTTTGATTCAACTTGTTTCTGAACATTTTTGATGATCCCTATTCCCCCTTTTTAAATTAACAATTCTAACTGTCTTGTATTTCTAATTTTGATTCTAAATAAACTTGACTCAGCATGTTCAATACACTTAGTTGCATGACACTGTCATTTAAATTCTTACTCTAAAGAAATGTCCCAATCCTGTGGCAGCAGCCAACACCAAGAACATCATGGACCAGAAGAATGCAGCATTTTTTAGGTCATCACCAACGAGTGTGAAAGTCTGAAAAATAACATGGTACATGTATAAAGACATATATATCTTCCTCTTCTGAACCCATAATTATAACGAGTGTAATAAAGCTATAACAGTGTGTTTTCTTGCTACCTCTTCTGTCTATTCATTTTTAAATGAAAAACATAATAAAAATTTATACAACTTTTACAAAAGATAAAATGATGCATCTTTTAATGAAAAGATTTAATAATGATTTTTATAAAGAAGAGCTTAAGAGATTTTTAAAACCAAATTGCATCAACTGTTCAATACCCATTAACAGAACACTCAAGTTCACTTATGTACGTGACTTCTGTTGTAGAATGATGCATAATTTATAAACATTTATTTTCCTTTCATGTAAATCTCCTCACAAAATTACTGTTATTAAACCTGAAATAAAAAATTTTGAACAAGGTCAACTACTGTCTAAAATTTATATATCAAGCAAAATTTTGAGCTCCTTTAATCACTCCTTGCTGTGTGAACATCACCATACAAATATTGCGACAGAAGTAACAACCCGAGTGTTTTGGTTTCATTAACTGCACCTCTTTCTACCTTTCCTGAGCTGCAAATCAAATTCTAATTTTTTAATTGCTTTTATAAAAATTATATATTTTCTAGTTATATTCACAAGTTTCCCAATTTGAAAGTTTGACATCACTTTTTGTTTCCTGTGAGATGTTGCAAAATATTACAGTGACTTGTGAGCTTGGTATAAGAAAACTGAAAAATGGTTCACATAGCTTCATTAAAGATACACACACAAAAAAAGGCAATACACTGATTCAGAATACAAAATGATAAAGTCTCTATTAAATCACAAACCCATTTCTGAAACTTAACAAGACTATTTTAATATTTGTTTTTATTGTTAATTATGTAAATTTTGAAAGCAATTAACAACACAGAAATCCATAAGTGTTGCATCTAGTGACTTGACTGGTAAGTCTTTGTATGGAATGATATGAATATGTATTTCATTCTCTCGCTGCTTGGGGTAGGCCATGGAAACAATTTGAGCACAAGTGACTTGTGCCACTTTTCCAGACAGAGATCTTTCTTAATTATGTTACATACTGTTGCCTGTGATATGTGAATGGTTTTTGTCGTTGACTTTTGTATTTGTCAGATGCCATGCATTGCTTATTATGGTTGGGATATGATTTGTTGTAGGTCTCCTTCTGGATGGTCCTTATGCACCAAATTGATCCATTCCCATTAAATACAACAGATATTCTCATATCCTCAAATTTCTGATCTGAACATATCATTATGATTTGAGTGTACAGAGATTCTGCATTAAAAAAAGTTGTAACATACTCCCCCCCCAAAAAAAAACGAGATACATTTTCCTCGGCATCACACTACCTAATAAACATCAAACAATGTAAAAATTTAGTTCTGATACATTCTTCTGCATCACGTGGCTTGATGATCTGAATATTCAAAATTGATTTCATATAACATACTCAACCTTTTTTACTTTTAGATATTACACTTAGTTCATTTTGAAAAATATTTTGAAGAATGTAAATAGAAATATATAAATTTACAAAAAAGAAAAGTCTATAACAATTATATCATCAGGCTGATTAGAATGTCTGATAGTATATATATAAAAAGGGAAAGCTTAGAAAACTTACTGCAAATATTTCACTGTAGAAGACAGCAAAGGCAGGCATAGTTCCTCCCACAACAATTGAAGCTAGCACAGCCACTACTATGTAAGCCCATTCTGGTGCAGCTGATTTTAAAATCTGAAAGGCAGAAGGCAATGCTACTTCTTCCTGCAAAGAAACAAAAAGCACAATTCATTCCTTTAGAATATTCAATTTAAATATATTGACATTTTTAGATACAAATATACTTAGGAACTACAAGTTTTAGCAAAAAATATCTATCAGTGAAGAAAAGCCCTACTACAATGTATGTTCTCTTTTTTATTAATGAGCATAGAAAAACTTACATACATTTTTCTTATTAGCTATTACATATAAAACCAACAAAGCATTTTTTAAAAGTTTAAATTTCATTTATCTTCAGCAATCATATTGTCACAATTTCATACAAGGTTATCAAATATATCAAGGATGTATTTACTTCACAAAAGCACTTAACTTGCACTGAAGACATCAAATTGATCATTAAACTACTCATTAAAATAGTATATCTTGTTTTTTGAAATATCATAAGCAAAGCCAGGATTAAAACTTTCTCAAGCAGGTATAAAATTTAATAAAAATACCTCATTAACTTCACTGATAAGTCTGTTAAATTCTCTATCTCGTGAAATGGATCCTGATCTGTGGAAGCTCCTTTGTCTCTTCAGGGCTTGACTAGATTCTCCTGCTACTTAGTAGTATAAAATTTTATCAACATAGTAATAATGAGACATAAACTAATCATACTGTATGCAAGCAATAAACTAATACTAAAAAACTGAAACAAGCTTTAGTTTAATAACCACCAGATACTCTCATATTTGTGACTGCTCGAGGATGAGCAGCAATTATGGTTCCGAGGGTGTTAATAGTTGCTGCACTGAACCCAAGTTTAAATTAGAAGAACTTAGCTCTACAGATTTTCTTTAAATTGTAAGCATGTTTCAAAATTTGAATATTTGTAAATTAATAATTTTAATTTAGTTGACTTTATAATACAAGTTTCTTTAAAACCACGAATACAATGGTTGTATGTAGTCTTTTTGTTTTTATTTTTAGTAAACTATATCAAAAATTACACATGAGCAAAATCTTTGTTGTAGGTGCATATGAGTACTGGCACTTTTTTCTGTTGAGAATTTCAACCATGAGATTCAACAAATTATTTTTACATATGTAATATATCTAGCACAAGTCCACTTCACAATCAATATTGGAAAGGATCTGCCTAATGTGGACTGTATTCTGATTAATATAATACAGTCAACTATGTATTAGCAAGCACTTTTATATAGTGAATACCTGCCTGCAACAGTAATTTTTATTTAGCCTTGATTAAGTTCTTCTATTTCAGAATCTGTTTAATGTCACCAGTGATCACTATTTCCCAGCTCTAGAAAAAGTGAACTTATTTAACAACCATACAGTACAGATCTGGTAAATGTAAGTGAACACGTGGCTACCATTTTTTCAAAATGAAAATTAATCAGAGTGCAATAATCTATCAAGTGCAGAAATATAAAGAAGGTGAATCCATTACAAATAATACCCACTCTTCATCAGAAGTATTCTTTTATTCATCATGTATCACTGGGCATGTCTGCTACAAAAACAGACAAGCATTACATCCATTGATACAAATTTTAAAGTAATATAATTTTGAGGAAATGGCAAGAGTGTGAAAATAACTACAAGTCTAAACTATACAGTCATATAGCACGGGACTATGAAAATAATGTACTAGATTTATAGGGTGAATTTTAATAGTGTATAGTAATTACAGCAACACATTACTATCACACTTATATATATACATAGCACTGAAGATAATTATGGAGACAGTGAAATAAAATAGGTACAAAAGCAACTATTGTGTAATTGTTTTCCCTCCATTATTTGATAATGAGTTACACTAGAGTACAATTATATGCTGATAGTTTATACTGTGGTTGGCTGTCATCCATCCAATTAGACAGAGCCACATCAGCATAATGCTTATAAGAGTACAAGCAGTTATCCTATTCCTACAAATAGTGTGGTGAATGCAATTCATGGTTCCCCAAACAGAAATAAATGTCATGTTTCAGTAGGACATGTATGAAATGTTTGAAGAGAGTATGTGAAACTAGTACTGTTTTTAATAGAAGCACTTGAGGTAAAAAGCTCAAATTCTTCAAAAATGTGATTAAGTGTATCAGGATGTTATTTATGTGATACATTATAATCCAGTAGATATCTTGCCAATAACACAATGTAAGTAAAGGTGTGAATATTACCTCCAGAACAGTAAGATACACATCAGAAAGAAATGGTCTCAATAGATGTTTAGCTGCTCAGAAAATAGTGGTTAGGAAATATAATCAAACCACAATGATGAAACAAGCATTAGGCTTCAAATAATGGGAAGAGCAGGCTAGAGAAAGGTGCTTTTTTTTCCAAACAATCCAAATTCAAATTGTTTGGCAAGAATCAACAATAGTTTGTTTGATTGGAGAGAATGAAAGATTTAATGGACAATATGCTATATCTACAGTGAAGCATGCTGGGGGATCAATATAAGTCTGAGCTGCATCTCAACCAACGGCATTTGAGATTCACACAAAACTGATGGCACCATAACTGTTGACAAGTGCTCTCAGATTCTTAATCATCATATCATTTTCTCATGAACAAGGCCTGTTGAGAAGGGATTCATATAGCTTCAGGTATGACTGTGATTCCAAATATGCAGAAAGTGTTGTAAAAATGATACATGGGAAAAATAGGCTGAAAGACCACTCACAACCATGATATAATTTGTATAATATCTGATGCAAATATTATTCAGGCTGTACAGACTTATATGGCATCTGAGAATGCCAAATGGAAACCATTACTTTGTGTTAACTCTCTCACCATGGGCTCAGTTGAATTGACTGATCTCGTAACCACTTTGTACTCGTTATAGTTTCCATATTATAACTTTTAATACATTATATGTATATTCACAAAATTCCACATACCTTTAGTAAACATTACAAGTCTTTTGTACACAAAAAATCAGATTTCATATTAAACTATTTTTACCAAAGATTTGTCTGTGAATATATATAGTTTTTTTTTGTTTTTACTAGTCTGGGTGCAAAGTGATTTCTACATTAAGATTGAAAATACTTTTCTTTGTCTCAAAAATCTCAAATTTTGTGCAATCTCTAAAACCTCCTAAATACATTTCAAATGTTTTTTTTTGGGTAAAACTTTATATTTTATCTGTTATTTTGTCTACCTTAACATTATACAGGATTGGTCAATTTGATTGACCTTGTAACCACCAAAAAAGAAATGACTTTAAACTCTAGTATGAAACAACATTGGTTTATCCTAAATAGCTTTAAACTCATAACAGTATACATCTATTTATACTTAAATTTAGTTGTTTTATTGCTCTGTGAACCCTAACTACTATTCATTCCATAAAAAGTTGCAAACCACTTGGTGAACAAGCAATTCACATTATGCTATCAAATTACATTATGCTGGAGCTACTTGCAAACTATAATACTATTGTATTATATTATTATTATTTAGTTCACCTAATCTAACCTTAACTATCACAAAACATTTCCTATTTTTACATTTTAGTTACTTTTTTATAAAGTTAAAGCTTTAGTTAAAGCAAAAACAAAATACTAGTTTATTGTAAAACTTATTTGCTTTTCTTTTCTGTAATAATGTACTGATGATAAACTGGTTACTTAGTTGCAATTACTCATTGTTTGCAACTCCTGTTTGTGTATCATCTGTGAATTTTCAATAACTTCTAATATTGTGTGTGTGTGTGCGAATAAAATTTTAGGCTTGACTGTAATTACTCTTTTGCTAGACACAATACACATTTCTTTGTGCTCTATCAGTAATTTTATTTGCAACTGCTTCAAATAGCCATAGACATATCCTTTTAGAATTTCAAAAGTACCAGCATATTTTAAAACTGTATAACAAGTTTAAATTACTTTTATTTATAAACACAATATCCTATTCTTAGTCATTGTCATTAACATTCTCCTAAAAGGTATATACAATTTTCTTAATTTCTGAAAAGTAAGTGTAAGTTAGTTGCTTTAAAATACAGGTTTACCTCTAGAATATAAAAGTAAAACCTCATCCAGTGCTACGTTAAGATTCCCTGCATTTTTCTATGTATATGGTATAAGAAAAATCTATAATAATCAAAGAACAATTTCATATTCTTAAAATATTTATTGAACAGTTTATACTTGCTAGAAACAAATGGCAGGAAGAAAACCATATTAACCTTCTCCTTGGGCATCCTTTACTACGCATATCACGAGGTTTTTATTGATTACATTCGAAATTTAATTAAGCTACTTTTTATGTTCTAGTTATTAGTATAGCACAAACGCATAGCTAATAATCCAAATTTTAATAGTACATATGTTTTAAGTTCTTAATTTTATACAAAAAAATCCTGAATTTCCCCTACTCTGAGAAATAAGACATTTTTACTCAAGGCATCTCCTCTTTCCTATTTTATTCACCACCCCTCCAATAAATACAAAATTTAACATAAATTACTCACTATAAAATTGTCATCGCTCAGCCTAACCATAATTTGTATAGTCTTCAACCTTGTTTCGTTACAAAGCCATCAAATAGAAAATTAGACCTCTCTTGCCACACCCATCTGTCACATCCTCTCTTTCAGGATTTGTTAATAGTTCTCTCTTATGATTAATAATATACTATCTATGACCAATAGAAAGCTAAGGTTTTCATCTATCAAATGATGTGTTATATTACATTGTTTTCTAAACAGAGAATTGTCAATTTATTTTTTAGTACAATCTCTGTTCCCACAGGAAACATATCAACTAGCTTGGATGAATTTATAATGGCTCTGGTCCAACAGTTAGAAAGCCAGAAAAATTGTGATAGTTATAGGACATTGTTTGCTTTTTGCAATTTATTATTCTATGTTCTTTAGTGCATTATTTAATTAAATACATATTACTTAGTGCATTACTATCACTAATATAAAACGTATGGTTAAGAGTTATCAACAATTGGCAGCAAAAAAAAAGGAAAACCCAGGTAAGTACTTGTTTTTCATGTATATTCTTTTATTTATTATTATAAATGTAACAAAAATGTAAAAATAGGAATCTCTTTGGGTGAGTTAGGTTAGATTATATACAATAAATAATATTAATAATCAAATGATAAAAATGTTTCACAAGGCATGCATGCGAGGAGCTCGGAATAGCTCATTAGTAATGTAACTTGATAACGTAATGTGAGCTCCACTTTCTCCAAGTGATTTACAACTTATAATAGTGTAAATAGCAGTTAAACATGGTTCAAAGGGCAATAAAACAATAAAATTGAAGTATAAATAGATGTATACTGTCACAAGTTTAAAGCTGCTTAGGATAACTAAATGTAGTTTCATGTTACAATTTGAAGTCATTATAGAAAGAAAAAAGGGCAATTTATATTTTTTGGGGTGATTACGAGGTTGGTCAAATTGACCAAACTTATATAGAATTAGGGCAGAGAAAATAACAAATAAAACAAAATTTTATTGAAAACAAATGTTTGAAATTTGACCGAGCCTGTGTAGAAAGTTAAATATACTAAATACTACTGGTTCTTTTTTTTATCCTAACCACTTACAAAACAAGCTAAAACAATAGAATATTTTCTTTTGCACTTGATACATTTAAAAGACAGCACTTATGCAATGGGGCTAAATATTTGTGCTTATCAGAAAAACAAACCATACTACCTTGTTCTGATGTAGAATAACCACTCTGGTCAGTAAACATTTGGCTCATCACCAAAGTGTAATAGACCCCTTCCTTGTCCATAAGTTCTTGATGAGTCCCACTTTCCTTTATCTCTCCATTTTCCATGGCAAATATTACATCAGCATCTTTGATGGTGGACAAGCGGTGAGCAACTATGATGGTAGTTCTTCCTTGTCTAGCCTGAAGTGTATCAAAGAATTGGTAAATATAGTACAAAAGATTCAATGATTCTTAGACATTTAAAGAATGACTAAAAAGTGTTGAAAAGTACAGAGTAATTTTCAAAATTGACCTTTGATGAAATGGAATATTGATACATACAACAACAGAACAAAATATAACTGATCACTTCATGTCCCTGATTTAAATTAAAAGAGTGTGATAAAATTAACTCTAAGGTGCTCTAACCTCACACTTATACATATAGAATAAATTACATACTAATAGATTATGGCATTTTAATTAAAAATACACATTACTTTACCAGCCAAGTTTTCTCTTAATATCTCAAGCACTTACAAAACTTACTAAATACTAATGGATGTCCTCTTACACTATAAACACTCAAGAAACAACATTCATACAACTGAGTGTTTTTGTCTTATAACAGAAATACATAAGGAGCAAATTAAATATCAATGGATGCTCTCTTGAATACATAGCACAGAATACATTATACTAACCAAGAAGCACATAAGTATCACTGAAGGCTCTCCTTTTTCAACTGGATTACTTACGAAAACAATGAATAAGACCATATATTTGGCTATATTATTAACTTATATAAACACATCAACATATATTAGGTCGTCAAGAAATTACTGTCGCTTTTTTTTTAGATGAAAAACACTAACAACT